CCTGCAGTGTGGTTGTCTTGCTCTGTCTCTGCAGGTCCAAGCCTTGTCGTCTGCCAGTAAGTTTGAAGCCGAGTTAAAAGCCGAGCAGGAGGAGCGGAAGCGGGAGGAAGAGGAGAGGAGGGTCCGCCGGGAGGCCTTCCGGGAGCTCAAGGCGGCTTTCAGTCCATAGTCCTGCTGGCCTTGACCTGGGCCTCTGCCTACAGCGGTGCCTTAAAGGAAGATATGGCCCAGCCCCCTCACTTCAGTGGGCCCTCCTTGCCCTCAACACCCATCCACTGTCCAGTGCAGACTCCACAGACAGCTTTCTCTCGTGGTAGCAGTCTTCCCTCTTCCCAGTGCCGGAGCCACCTTAGAAGGCCCTGGGAAGGCCAAGTGCCCTGCTCACCACTCTCCCGGCCTCCTCCCACAGCCAGCGGATGCCTCCCTGTGGCCACGTGGACTTTGTCCTTGTCCCTTTACCATTCTGCTCTGGCTCTGACGGCCCTCCCGGCAGATGGTGCAGAGTCCCGAGGGTGTGTGGTTTCACCGCACCCTGTCTTCTTGGAGAATAATCTGCATCCCTTCCTTTTTGTTCCCCATTCGCTGTTCTTGGGCTCCTGCTCGGCTCCCTGCTTTGGCCTCTCCTTCAGTGTTGGTGGGCTTTAAGGGAGCCCGCCTCCCACCTCAGCTCCCACCAGAAGGAACCCGAAGTCGACATGATGCAAAATAGAGAAAACGTGGGGAGTTCGGTTCCTTCCCAACAGCCTTCTTCCTGTTCCTTTCGCCGACCCCTTTGATATTTTCCCATTTCATCTTTTTTTGCTCTATCTTTATTAACTCTTGTGAGACTTAACGAGAAGAGTGAAAGAGTAGAATTAACATTGAGTAGAAAAATGCTCATTCAACTCTAATTCTACACCAGTTATAGTCTAGCAGACCTCTGACGTCCCAAAGCGACAAGCCCAGGGCCTTCCCAAACCTGAACAGTCATGGCCATCATCTAGCCAACTTCCAACGTCTGCCCCAAGGTTCTAAGGAGGAAATCTCCTTACCTCCACCACGAAGAAACCAACCAGCCAACAAAAAAACCATGATGTTGTAAGCTCTTGGCTTTGATCGCAAATACCAGGGGTTTGCTGTCTTTTCAAGAAAAACAATTTCTCATGTCGTATTTATCCTCTTTTGTAGCTTCTATCTTTTAAATAAAGGAAAGCTCTACCTTGCACCTGTTTTGTGTTAAATAAACTATCATCTCACACCAGTGCGTGTCTTGTCATCTTTGAATTGGGGGAGAGGGGCGTGTGTTTGTTCTTCAGGAGTCACTGTGAGCCTTGTTGGCTACGTAGAGTTGGCTCCTGCTCAAAGTGACCGTGTGTGTAACAGACCAAGAGCGTGGCCCAGTGCTGGGCCTTGTTGCCACCTCTGACACAGCATGTTATTGAGGGTCTCCAATGTCCTCACGGTGTGCAAGTGTCACCATTCTCAATTCTAATGACCATCTGGCTTTACTTCTTCCAAGACAGACTTGTTCACTCTTGGGGTGGTCAATGATTCAGTAGTTTTCAACAGCATAATGCTTTCACGTACTGTGTTAGACTGGACCCTCGGTGACATGCACACATGGAGAGAGAGAGGGAAATGTATATCCGGAAAATGGCTCACTTGATTACAGAAGTGGTTAAGTGCAGTCTTGTTTATGCCCCTGGGTCAGATGTTAAACTGGAGGCTTCTCCTGACTTCCATAGCTACCGGCGCTGATGAACCAGGAGGGGGGGAGGCTTCAGGCTTGTGGTTGGAGAATCCAATGAATCTAAAGTCAGCAGGTCGGATAGATGGCAGACTTACTGATGGCTCCCAGGGTCGACATACAATAGGATGGGCTAGACCCCACAAGAAACAAAGAAGATCTCCCTAGAGTCTACTCAGAAATAGTCCCCACCCCGCAGGAAACTTCATCAGGGCTGTGTCCACCCTAATCTTACAATTGATCGGCTGCTCAATCAACAGCTCCCTTTTTGGAGTCCATCATGGTAGGTCACATCATGGATTAGTAGCCTTACCTGCAAAACCACCGAGAATCTTGGTCCAGCCAAGGTGACACAAAGCTATCACAGGTGCACAGGAGAGGACTGACAGTAACACAGCACCTTAGTCTTCAAAATGACAATTGCTTTTTAAGATTTTAAAGAGGCCTTTTGTAGCTTATTTGCCCATTGTAATACATCATGGTATGTTTTGACTGCTGCTTCTGTGGGCATTGATTGTGGAACCAGGTAAAATGAATCACTGACAACTTTAATATTGTCGCTGCTTATCACACACTTGTTTATTGGTCTGATGCCAAGACCCTGAACAGTTAGGAGCGGCAATGAGAGGGTTGGTTTCCACCTGGCATTCAGCGTCCTGAGGCTGTAAGCTGCTCAGCCCTTCACCATCAAAGAGATAGCTTTAATATAAAAAAAAAAAAAATTGCTTTGGGCTTCAAGTAAAATCAGTAGCCTTGCTTCCCAGAACCCTTTGTGATGATGAGGCCAATGACCCATCCCTCCCACATGGAATTCCAGAGTATCTATACCTGAGTGAAATCTGCAGTTCTCAAAGAACACCTTTATTAATTTTTTTAATCGTATCCCTTTTTCCTCAATAGAGTTATTGGCAAATAATTTACATGTGGTATAATTCAATAGTTCAATCGTATCAAGGAGAATAGTACAATCGCCCTGTTAGAGGTCTCAGTGGATATACCTTGGTCCTTGGCTCCGGGCGAGAAGGAATTCACGCTGAAGCCTGGTTTGTGATCTAAGTGGGAGAAAAGTAGCACTTTCAGGTCCTAGAGTAAATGGAACTCAGAGAGAGTCCATGGCACAGTTTCGGGACAGGCCTGGTTGCTCCCAACTGCAGCTCGGCTGTGCTACATTGTCAAGGGCTGGGGAAGGGGCCAGGCAAAGCCCCTGGCCTTTTCAGGGCCCCGTTGGGAGGCGTGGTGGACAATACTGGCCGACCCCATTGGCTGAATCAAATTCACCCGGCTTAGATGGGCCAATCCAGGTGTAACATCCACCTAGGTGTACCACCCCTTCCTGGCCAGAAGCTCGAACCTCTGAGCATGCGTAATGGACGCCCCAGTCCCCATGCTAGCTACCTAACAATTCCAATTTATTTTTAACATTTCCCCTCCCATGGTCAAATCACCTCAAAGATAAGTTATGCAATCACAATCCATTCTGGGGCTTCCCTCCCCACCATCCCGTCTTCACCATCCCCTCAGCAGACCCCTTTATCCTCCCCATTATCCACATCCCACTCCATCCCTGCATTCTCTATAATCCCTTGTATCGGTTACTATCATTATGCATCCACTCCTCTTCTTCACAGCTGGGGCAACCAATAGAAAACAATAAAAAACAAAATTGCGCTAAGGTGGTAAGGTTAAAAACATCATGGTAAAAACCAAAAACAAACCATAATGGTATACAATGATACAAATAATGTGTAAGAAAACAAAATAATAATGCGTAAGAAGGACAGACCCCAACAACATTCAAAAAGCCAGGGAA